AGATTGTGACCTCATTCTGACATCAGAGGATTCTGACCTATGGCTATGCTGGTTAGGAGACTTGTGGAAGCTGCAAAGAAAGCAACTTTATCAAGCTCTCCTTGGCATGTGATGAGCTTGCCCAAGGTGACACAGGCCAGCTCTTCCTCCTTGAAGGCACAGTGGGAAATCCAACTCCCAAACTCTGGCTCCACAACCAGCCTTCTTAACAATACTCAAAGAAACCTTTAGCGTAATCCGAAAGCCTGCTTCCAGTAGAAAAGCAAAGACACAGCTTCCAAATCCTGGGGATCACTCATCACCTGAAGTGTGACATCCTCAGTCACAGGACATATTTTCCCTATCAATAGCTTAATTGACACTCAGGAATGAATAATTTCAGGAGCATCTTTAAAGACAATGGGTAGTTGACTATTAGTACAAGGGGGCCTTGAAGCTTTTCAGAATAAAGTTATTTTTAAGCTCCTGCCCACTCCTGTAGGATCGTGGCTGAAAGCCTCCTAAATTCCTGCCTGACACTCTATCCACTATGACATCATAGCTGTCAACAGGTCATATAACCCACCTTCAACCCTCAACGTGACCTAACAGGAAGATCCATCCTGATCAGATGAAGGCTCAGCCTGACTGTTAACTGCCTCTCAGTTTGCTGAGATACAGACTAGATTGTGACCTCATTCTGACATCAGAGGATTCTGACCTATGGCTAGGCTGGTTAGGAGAATTATGACAGCTGCAGTCAAAGAAAGCAACTTTATCAAGCTCTGCTTGGCATGTGATGAGCTTGCCCAAGGCAACGCGAGGCCAGCTCTTCCTCCGTGAAGACACAGTGGGAAATCCAACTCCCAAACTCTGGCTCCACAACCAGCCTTCGTAACAATACCCAAAGAAACCTTTAGCGTGATCCGAAAGCCTGCTTCCAGTAGAAAAGCAAAGACACAGATCCCAAACCCTGGGGATCACTTGTTACCTGAAGTGTGACATCCTGGCCAAACAGCAGATCTGGGCAAAGTGTGGCCTGAGGGCCACATACGGGCCCGCGGACAGTTTTTAACATCAAAACCATTTACAATGGTCCCTTGCAAGACAATGTTAATGCGTTCTGCAAAAATCGCTATCTTGCGAAAACATCGTCTTATGAAATGTGGTTCCCCATTGGAATGCATTGAAATCTATTTAATGCATTCCAATGGGGGAAAGATCATCGTCTTGTGAAAATCATCCATAGAAAAACCATTCTGCGAAGCGCAGACCCAGCTGTCAAAATCCCTGTCTTGCAAAAAACCGTCCCTAAAAAAAAATCGTTTTGCGAAGCGCGGACCCAGCTGTCAAAATTGTTGTCTTGCGAAAAAACGTCCCAAAAAACCCCCACAAAATCACCGTCTTGTGAAGCATGGACTGAAACATTGTCTAGCAAAAATCACCCATAGGGAAAACCGTTTTGCAAAGCGCTATAGCAATCGCAAAAACCCATCTTGCAAAATAACCGTTTCGCGAGGTAATCGTCTAGCATGGCATCACTGTATAGCTTTTT